ACAACTTATTAGCATTAACACTTGGTCATTTCATACCTGGTGGATCATTGACAAGTATGCTTGAGTCAAATTGCATTGACGTTATTATCCACCTTACCAGATGGCAACATATCCAAAAAAGGATCAACACTTGTGGAAACGTTGGCATAAAAAATATTCGTGTCGATTATAATAAAAGACAAAACTGCTTTTGCCAACTAAAAACTTAACAATCAGTATCTCAGAAAAGATGACAATCTGCCTCCAGCTGGATAATGAGTAGAATTATTCAATTACATCCTAGTACTAATGATATTAACTATCAAAACATCAGATGACTTATTCAAAAGGAATATTACAAAATTGTATCTATTACCAATTTAACATTTATGTGTATTAATAATTTGTTGCATTGCATCATGATTGCAGCATTACAAGAGTCTTGCATAATTGTAATGATTCAGTATTTAAGATTCATTGTACATGCATGTTGAATGAATACTATTTCAAGGTGGTCGGCTTTATTTTAAATTTATTTTTGTTTCTCGCAGGATGCTTGCTAGAGCCATAATGATTGTACTTACACATACTATTTTTTTAATCTAATAATAAACATAACAAAAGAACTATACTGTTAACTTCACATCTACTCAACAATGTAATGAAAGTATTTGATTGTACACCTTGCACACACACACACAAAAACAGTTATATATCTCTCGTTCTACTGGGCCGATTGACAAAATTCAAATTGCGTTTTCCATGTTTCTAAAGAGCGACGTAGGATATTTATTAGATTTATATATAGCATTGTTCTAACATAGGTATTCTGACATAAAAGGGGACTTTTTCTGAAACAACGTACACTTTTTTCCATATGAGGATAATGCACATTCTTACCAAAATACAGTGGTCACCCACTGCATTTACTTTTTTAATTTCAACTATAAAATTGTGATTCTTATGAATAAAGCTGAAAGTACTTCTAACACTTTTTAAGGAAAAAAAAAGGGGGGGAGACACTTTCTGTGTCTATGTATATATATATATATATATATATATATAGATACACACATTTTATATATTATATTTATATACTTGTTATGAGATCTAACAAAGATATCAAAGTAACATTTAGAAAGAACAGAAAACAAAACCGAATTAAAGAAAATTAAATTGCAAAACTGATTCTACATCTTCGTAAAAAGTGTTAACAAAATAGAACATTTTCTTGCTTACTGAATACAATAACCTATCTTGTAATTTTGAATGGATAAATTACAATATTAGGAATCAATTTAAATAATTTCATTATATACCTACACTAACCTTCTTTGAAAATATGCAACTTATTTTGTTTGTACTTGCTGAGATAATTTTATAACGAAACAGAACTGTTTTATCTGTTGCATGCAATCTATTTTGTACTTTTGAATGGACATATCCAAAAGATAAAATTCACTCAGAAGAATTTCTCGAACAGAAAGTTCTCTTCTCTAAGGTAAAAAATGTGTACATAGTCCACATGGAATTTCAGAAATTGTATGCATCGTACTGTTATGCCATCAGTAAAGTAAAATTTGAAAATTGATTTTTAAAAAGTTAATAGATCAGCATTCTTTGTTATTACTCAGTTGCTTGGAATTCAGAACTTTCTTTTGCTTTTTTATTTCATTTTCGTTAAAGCAAGCAATAACAGATAGTGTGTATGTGTATATATACACCGGGTGGACATAATTAAACTGACAGTGCTCACAGTGTTCTGTAACACGATCTATTTGCGAGAATGACGCCACATTTTGTAGGAAGATTAAACAAGACGAGGGACGAAGGATTCCGCGAAAAAACAAATTAGCTCTAAAAGTCACCACTAGGGAAATATTTGGCACTGTGTAATAAATAATAGAGTGTTAACAAATGCAAATTAATACGGAATAAAATTACCTTTTATTATGCATACTACCCGACAGGACCCGAAACCTGTTCTGATTTAGTTCAAGTGCAATATGGCAACACTTTTAAAAAAGCGCAAAATCTACATAAACACCGATAAAGTCTCGTGATCTGCAATATCACGTACGCTGAGCAGAAGAAGTTCTTTATTCAAATTTCACATTACATCCATTCGCACAGTGCCAGCTGCTTGGGTTTTAAAAGGCAATGTCTTACGTTTCGAATCAATCGGATTGAAAGTTTATGTGCAATGTCTCCTTTTTTAGTCGAGCGTGCGTTACTGGTCAAATTCTTTTACCTCAACCAGTGCAATGCGTCAGCCGCTCTTCGTGCTTTTAGAACGCACAAAAAATGCATAAAGGTAATGGTCCTGTGTCAGTTAATGGGCTAAAAGCAATGGTTGCGACATTTGAGAAAACAGGTTCTCTGAAGGTTCAGTCAGGCAGAGGACGAAAACCTGTACCACAGGATACAATCGAAGCAGTTGCCACAGCGATTGTTGACAGAGGACCAGACAATACTGCTGCCACCTCTAGCACTCTGGAGTAGCTCGGAATATAGATATGCCTTACAGTACGGTATGGAAAATCTTACAAAAGATTATCAACTTCTATCCGTACAAGAGTTACTGTATCCCGATCATGATAAGCGATTGACTTTTGCTCTCACCTTTCTTGCCAGAATGGAGGTGGATGATGCTTGGCCGTGGAAAATCTTATGGGGAGACGAGGCCCACTTTTACCTGAATGGAACTGTGAATACCCAGAACTGCCGAATTAGGGATGACAATGCAGTCACAGTAATTCCCTTACATTCACCAAAGGTAACTGTTTGGTGTGGGTTCACAGCGAAATTCATCGCAGGTCCATTCTTCTATGAGAACATTACCCCGACAGGACCCGAAACCTGTTCTGTTACCGGAGAGAAATATAGCCACATGTTGAATAGGTTTGTCATTCCGGCACTTCAGCAAAGACAATGCCTGGGGGAAATCATTTTCATGCAAGATGGAGCCCCTCCACACGTTGCTGTACGGGTGCAACAGATGCTACGACAGAAATTCACAACAGAAAGAGTCATTAGCCGCTACTTTCCAACTGCATGGCCACCTCGGTCGCCTGATCTTACCCCATGCGACTTCTGGCTATGGGGTTACCTTAAGTCCAAGGTCTATCAAGGAGTGGTCCAGGACCTGGCTACGTTGAAGGATAACATATCACGGACTGTACGGGAGATTCCTGCAGATATGTTACTTTCTGCTGTTGTGCATACTGTGCACAGAATGCAATATGTGGTCCACAACAACGGCAGCCACATTGAACCTCATTTGAATGCAAAATAAAAGGTAATTTCCGTATTGATTTGCATTTGTTAACACTCTATTTTCTATTACACAGCGCCAAATATTCCCCTTGCGGTGAATTTTGGAATTAATTTGTTTTTTCACGGAATCCTTCGTCCCCACGTCTTGCTTAATCTTCCTACAAAATGTGGCGTCATTCTCGCAAATAGATCGCACTACAGAACACTGTGAACACTGTCAGTTTAATTATGGCCACCCGGTATATATAATCTTAAATTGTAATGATCCATTTTCTTATTACATCTGAGAGAATAAAATGAAATACTATATTAATGAGTAAGAACTCTATCACACTTTTCATTGGATTTCTTGGGGAAATTGCTTTACATTTTAATGCAGAAATAATAAAACATCTATTTTCAGATCTCCTTCAGCAGTCCTATAGGTGTACCTTTGTTTATTTCTTCCGAAAAAAAATACAGTCTCAATAAAAATGATCACAAAATCAATGTTTAGTGATTATTAGGGTAGGGTATTTTTTTCAATAACCTATATGCACATCATGAAGACATGAAGAATACAAACATTTATTTTTTAAGTCATGAAATGATTAAGCATCGTTTTGGGTACACCACATAAGCAGCATCAATATGAGCAATATCAATAGGAGCAAACCAAGTGTGCAGCTGTTATCAAATGAAATCCTGTATGTGCTATATCAGTGACAAGTATGCTACAGGATATGGCAAGATGCCAGCTCCATTTAGCATGTTCACTGTAACTAAGTCACATTTGAGTTTTTATTATCCTGTAGCAAAATGGTCCTTGTGCATTTTGAATATTCAGCAATAAGCAGGATTTTCATTCATATCAACCAATAATTACTAAACAAAGGCAGTAATTAAAGTTATATTTGTAATAGTATATTCTTCAAACACAACTGTCAGTCCATTCAGCTTTTCATCACATCAGGTTTATTAATGCCCACACCACTGTGAACAACAATGCTGTATTCTCTTACTGTATCTCTTCAGACAAGTAACGGTCAAATGTGAATAAACTAGTATCACACAGATATTACTTCATAATCTAGTGCTAAATGGTGATACGATTTCTGATGCCATGTAAATATACTCCATCATACTTCTCAGTGAAGTTGCCTCTAATACAGGTTCCACTATTCTACATACTAAATAAATACTACTAACATCTCACCAATCTAAAATTACACAAAGAAGCAACCACAGTTTTAAATTTTACATTGGCATGTTTCTTTCCCAATTAGATTTTTTCAAACACCAATCATATTACCCTCAAGTTAAAAACTTTAATCATTTGTATATTTCAGTCATTTCTAGCAATTTTGTGATTTGAATAAACTGATTTTCTTTCGTCGTTTTGCAGTTCTACTGCTTAAAAATATGTCAAAAAAAAAAAAAAAAGTTTGAGAAATGTCATTAACAAGGGAAGAAATTAAAAAAAATAAAGAATTTGAAGCTGAGTTCATCACAGGATGGAAAAAAAATCAAGAATCCAATAATAATTTACAGTAGCAGAGAATTACTTTGCAGGCTTTTTGAGAATGTACAAAACTGAAGTGTTTCAATAGTTCCCATTAAAAAAAAAGTCACTTTTCATATTCATACTTATAAAAGCATTACATATTTTTATCAACTGAAAAATTCTTTAAATTATTTTTAAACAAGTCAAATATCTGCAAAATGACCTGGTTTTCATGAGAAAAATAATGCAGAAAACTCACATGTGATTTTCAAACAATATTTTTATTTTGAACATAAAATACATGACTGTAAAAATTACAACCAATGAAAGGTTAAGTATAGACTGAAACACAGGCTTTAAAATTTAATGACTAATTCATTTAACACTGAATGCTTTGAAATCAAAGTGGAAGTAAAGATCCATTTGATAGTCAATTATAATTAAAATATGTTTAAATAATTTGAATTTAATGACAATGCAAAATTTGAATTACAAAAATTAAGTCTTTAGTATTAAGCATGCATATTGTATTTATGTGCAATGACAGCCATTGACATTTCTACTCTACATTAACATAATGAGATATTAAATTGTAAAAACACCAAGGCAAAAATATGATTCAAATTCATATCTTAAATGAAGAATGCTTCCACCTATAAATACAAAACTTCACAATAAACATTGAAGCCTCTATTAGGAAGTATGCATGCTCAATAAGAGTGCTTTACAACAAGAGTAAGCATAGAAAGATAAATAGATATCCAATCAATAAATCACAATTTGATAATTATTAAAATTAAATTTTCTGAATAAATAAAAAAAATTTAAAGTGGTTTAGAATCAGAACAAATCTGAATTACAACCATATATTACACTTTTGAATATTAAGAATTGTGCACATACATTGTAAACACTGAATGAGAAAATTTTGATACATTGTGTGACTTTTAGATGAAGTAACATTATTATGCAACATGGATTCTTTGGCATAAGTTATATATTGTACAGTTAAGGCAGGTACTTGATCAAAATAATTAATGACTGTCACTTTTCTTATATTGCCAAAATCAGTATTTGTTTTTAAGAGATATATCTTCTTATTTATTAAACAACACACAATGCACATTAAAAGGCATAAGTTATCCTTTTTATTACGTTGCACATTTCAAACTTTTCATTGTTAACTTTTGCTTGATGATGAATCGAAATAAACAAAAATTAATTTTTTTGTTACTGTAAGAGATAGATAACATTTGAAAAAATTCCTCTGAAAATATGAATTAAATGAACTTTTTTATTACATTATGAACCTGTATTGCATATAAAAAATTACTGGATGGCAATTAATTGAGCGTGCCCTTTGGTAAAATATTTTATTTTGAATTTTCTGTTAGATTACTTTCATTTATGCAGAATCCAAATAAAAAATAAAAGTTTATACATTTTACACAGAGATTTGAAAATGAAGAACATGTTGCATTCATTCCATATAAATCACAGTTACAAAATGATAAGTTCACATATACAAGATTTCTAGAATTGTATATAAGCACCATACTATTTATTTTGAGGATTTTAAATCTTTTTTACAATTAAACAAACTGATTTATAATTGAAACACAACATACATAAACATCTGAATAAAGATTATTACACTTTTAACATTCAATAGTTGGAACATCGTAACACCATCGATGTGATATAGTGCTGCATATTCTCTGTCTACCCCAAAATATATTTATTGCAGCATGGATAGCTGCCACTGCAACAATTCACAATGGCGACCAGTGAGCAGTTTGGTGTTAAATACATTATGCATTGCACTTCTAGATCTAGAATACATCTCAATATCACAGCTGTCTCGATAAAATACAAGATGTTCGGCGGACTTGTCATACACAGGTGTAAAATCTAGATAACTATCATACACTCACAGATGTAACAGAGTTCTCCAATCTCGATATCACCATACCCAGATGGAAAAAACAATAACAACAAGAACACGATCGTTCTGTAGATGTAAAAGATCTCAAATGTTGTAAAATATGTAAATTTCGAGCCTACAAAAAGGGCCCATTTTTCTTAAACTTCTCCAACATCACAATAAATTAAGAGAAATAAAAAATACTAGATCTTAAAATAAACATGTATGACAAACAATGCACATTAAAAATATGTGCAGTTGATTCTAAAGGGCATCATTTAGTTTAAATTCTCTATACATAACCTGGTCACTCTTGGCACCAAGAGGACCATCAGCTCAGATGTCTGTGCTAAAATACACACTGTCAGCACCATATGAGCATCAGTGCTAGGGGAAAGGTGTTGGATGTAAGGACATCCCAAAAAGTTGGCACTTTTTTAACCATCTAGGCTCCACAATACTCACACCAGGAGCCTCCCTGAGTTTGGAAACTGACAATTACCCAGATGTCAACAGGAACATCTTATATAATGGAATGTTAACATTTATATATACATATATATTTGTAATTATGCACTTTCCCCTAACCTGATGGACAATTGCCACATATAAAAGATGGAAATGTGTGCGCATTTAAAAGGATGTAATCACAATTAGTCTACATTTGAGCGCTGAGTTAGCTTTAACTACTACACTCGTGGTCCTCAAAAACAAGCCCGCAGATTTTTTCACTCTTTGCTTTAGACGTATCCATCACCTTCTCGGTGAAACACGAAACATGCGCAAGCAAACCATACTTTTAGTGGATATGACGTAATCTAACGAATGACACACGGAAAATGACCATAAAAGTTGATGAGCTAAGAAACTGCATCCAATTGCAAATACTTTGCAAGGCAGAAATAGGAGACAATTTTATAAAAATAAAGGGGATGAATCTGGCCTAGTGCTCAAACGAGATCTTGTGTGATAAAAATAAAAATTGCAATTTAAATACTTTTTTTTTTTGCACAAATATAAACACCTTTTGCGATTACAACAATGACTAGCTCCAATGAATTAAGTTTTGAAACAGTAGATAAAGATTAACACTTCTGACCCAAGGGAGTTAAAATGATAACAGGCAACAAGCATTACCACTTCTGATCCCTCAGCAATTCATCTAAATACGCCCCATCAGCATCAACATTGACATTGCGAACAGCTAGAGGAAGTTCACCAACACACAATGGGCGCCATGGCTTCTGAAGACCATAACTAACTTCTCTTTGCATGTGCTGAATTGCAGCTTCCTTAGTGAGTTGTATGCTGTCCTCGAGTTGTGTCGTTGAAATGCAGCAGACTGGAATTTGTAGATCTTGTAGCTGTTCTCCTCGTAACCTGGAGATCGCTATTAGGCTATCGGCGCCAACTTCATACCCTAAAATTAATTATATTTTTAAATGCAAAGATCAAAAAGTACTAATTTTAAAATTATAATTATCAATAATAATTTTGACATTTGCATGCTATATATCCTGCAACATTCTAAATGATGCAATCCTTGCTAAATTTCTTTTTTTTGGGGGGGGGGGTTGTATAAAAAGATAATGTCTAATATTAGAATATTTCAAAATTTTTAAGTGATTTGTTTCATGATGGCTTAAATTCAAACATTATTTGTTTACTGTATTGTACCTTGCCACTATAGAAAGTTTTTGTAGAGGGCAGAAAATATTAGCCAAATATAAAACCCAAGGTCTCATTTCTATCTTGAATGCTGACCACATAAAAACACACTGAAAAAATGCATACCCTCAATTTCTAACAAGATCCTGCATTTTAAAAGTGTTTTATAGAAAAAGGGCATGAATACATGATAGTCATATAAACATTATCTTAGTACCTTGAAAATATTTTATTATATAGATAACTTGAATGATCTAATAGTATACTTTGAGGTAAAACATGTCACTACATTTTTAATGTAAAAGTTAACATATAAATTATCTTAATATATTTAAATGTTAAGACTACATATAAAATAGGTTTGGTTTTCAAAAGAGCATTTTGAGGAAAAAAAAAAAGTTTAATATTTGGGTATTTAATAATGATTTATTAACTAGTGATTCTAAATCCAACTATTTTATAAAAGAGTTTGCTATTAATCTAATGCTAACATTAGGAATATTACACTTACACAGAGTCCCCCATTTGTACCTGAGTGAATTTCTGTACTTTGTGGACAATTTTTCACAGTGCTTTCCTATCAGCATAAGCGATAATTTTTTTGTCACAAAAAGAAATACTGATGCATCAAACATCAAATATGATGTATATGAAAAGGGCTTATTTATGGATATTATTTGTAGTTAATCACGAAAGGAAATTAAATAAAAAAATACATATACAGTTCTTTCAACATGTAGCTTATTTAGGATAAGAGAAAGCTTCATTTTGATATTTATGCTTTTATACTTTCAACAGCAAGGCAGTTTTTTTTTTTTTTATGAATGACTACATTCCAAGTACCAGGTGTACAAGTATGAAATGCAGATTTCAGACAACATATGGCGCATCAGCACAGTTTGTGCACTGTGCCATTTTATTGTATCATCAACAAATGTCAGTTGCACACACGTAATAAACTGGAAAAGGGTGTGCATATTATGTTGTTTTGTTCAATATGTCAAAATTTATACTGGTCAAAGAGCACTTGTAGACCGCATTAATTATTTATTTTTATTTGAAGAAAACTGCTGCTGAATCATATCAGTTACTTCAAGAAGCTCATGGTGAACATGCTCCATCGCAAGACATGTGTGAATGACGGTTTGGCGTTTCAAAAGTGTTGACTTCGATGGGTCAGACAAAAAACGTAATAAACCACACACGCAAAGAATAAAAAAAAAGGAAGGGAAAATGTAGAATTGCGAGCATTGTTGGATGAAAATGTTTCGCAAACACAAAAACAACTCACCAAGCAGTTGGGCATTAGTCAAGAACTTGTTTCTAATCGGCTACAAGAGATGGGAAGGATTCAGGAGACCGGTAGATGGGTATTACATCAGCTAAACGACAGGCAAATGGAAAAGCATAAAAACATGTGACATTTAGCTCGCTCAGTACAAAAGGAAGTTGCTTTTACATCGTAATAGTTACAAGGGACGAAAAGTAGATTTATTTTGACAATCCCAAGTGCAAAAAATCATGTGTAGACCCCAGGCACACCATCTACATTGACCACAAGACCGAATCGTGTTGGCAGAAAAACGATGCTCTGTGCTTGGCGGAACCAGGGGGCATAGCCTACTATGAGCTGTCAAAATGGTTAATACTAAATGCTATCAAAAACAAATTAACCGATTTGAACCGTTTGCAGCACAAAGTCATTTTTCTCCATGATAATGCGCCTCACATACAGCAAAAAAAGTTTGTGATACATTGGAAACACTCATGTGGGAAGTTCTACTGCATGTGGCTTACTCACCAGATTTGGCTACTTCTGATTATCACTTGTTTGCATCAATGGGTCATGCACTTTGGTTCATACGATGTGAAAAAATGATTCGTTGCAAAACGGGAAGATTTTTTACTGCCGTGGTATTTACAAATTACCCTTAAGATGGAAAAAATGTATAACAAACAATGGAGCGTACTTTGAATACAGCACTTTTTATCAGTCTTCCGAATTAAAAATTTTTTAGAAAACAAAATCCGCATTTTATACTTATACACTTGGTATTTTCCCCTTTTAGAATGTAGCAATATATTTATATATATATATATATATATATATATATATAAAAAAAAAAAAAAAGAGGCCCTAAGCTATTTTAGATATGGAGCCCTTTATAAGTCTGTTATACTATATTTTAATTTTTGGGAGTCCCCAAGAAAGTGGGGATCCTTAAGCTACAGCTTGTGTAGCTTATATACGTAAATCCTGCATAGGTAAAAAAGGATGAATGGCATGGAAATTCTTCAGAAAGTTTAAAAAAAGTGTATCATGATAATTACCTAAAAAATTATGTACCTAAAAGCAAAATTAGACAAATTAATGCACTGTTTACAAAAACTTCAGCAGTAAAGTTTTACTTTGAGTACCCATTTTAATTCTGCCAATATGTTCCACACATGTGCAACTAGACTATGCTTCTAACAATGCTAGAATTTTAGTTTCTTTAGTGCTCCTGATATCTTGTTTTCCACTTTTAATGGCTGAATGATCAATAAATATTATATCTATGTCTACTCCCTGTAAAGAATAACCATATAAACTCTAATTTTAAAAGACAGTGTAATAAACACCCAAAAGTAAAATTTAAAAAAGGCGAATAACTTCAATAATAAAATATGCTAACTTCTTTAATCAAAATATACTGTATTTTTTTCAAAACATTTGTTTACACATTTACATAAGATTATTAAATAATGAAGGAACTGCACGTATATGCTTCGCACTGTAGCAGCACCTTAATTTTTTTGTACATGTATAATGAATATGTGCATCTCGAACCTTTTAAAGTTTCTTTTATAATTTTTCCAGTATACTGGAAATTTTTAGAATATAATTAAGGGTTTTTGATTAACCTATTCCCATGGGCTACCAGAGGATTAATTTTTTATGTACTAGATCCATGCAGACAATGATTCTGATAGGAGGAGTAGACACACCCCCCCAAAAAAAATCAACAGTCTGCCACCTATTTTACATTAAGCAGTAAATTTTAATTTCCTACAGAGGAATAAAATTCTTTGAGTCTTATTTAAAGTAATAAATGTATGGACATTTGCGAAAGAATAACATATTTAGTTTTTCCATCAAATTTAATCTTTGATTAAAAACTTAATGATTTAAAAGCAATAAATACATTTCATCTGTTATTACTAACTGGACTTATAAATTACACAGGTTGAACTTATTAAAATCGTACTGTATTTTTGCTTTCTTTTTTCCTCTCTTGACATTTTTAGATACCCAGCCACAAAACCAGCTAGTATACGAAAAATCTACCATAACACTAATCAGGCTAAATTTTCTAAAAACTGAGGATATTTTATTTCTATACATTCAGAAATGAGCATGGATTACAAGCATTAGTGGATCAGAATTTTATTATCTTAGTATGCTTTTTTTATTATTTCATAATATTTCAAAAAATAAAAAGAAGATACTCCATATTTTTTTGGAATATAATTAAATAATTTTCATGAACTGCTACTGGAGACTTGTAAATTATTTTCATTGATAAAATATTGAAAATATAACAGCCATGAAATAAAAGAACACTTTGATGATGGGATTAAACAAGGAAAAAAAAAATACCTATTATTTTCATTCGAGTTAATCTTTTGCAACGCCAAGCAAGCATGATCAAAGGATCTATACTGCTGCTTAGGAAAGTGGAAGTTGCAGTTGAATCCTCATTCAATTCATCTACCAAAACCAGAGACTTTAAAGACTCATTGTTGATGAAAGCAATTCGAGTGATAGCTTCAACATTGAAACCGGATGAAAAATAGACTCGGAAGTGAGTCAGTGGCATTTCACTATTGAGGATGTAGTGGACATGTTCTGGAGAATTGTGAAAATGTAACAAATTGATGGTAACCTCTAAGCTTGGGCTGCAAGACCTTATCTGTTTCCAGGCAGAAGTGCTGATATCTGGAAGCCTGTAGTGAAAGGAATGCACATGAATGTTAAGCCTGCGGAGTGGTCTTCTGTGTGGTTGAGACAGTATCTCGAGCAACTGATCGCTTATATAATCGTAATCTATGCTCAAACATTCGAGATTTAGAAATGTTTTGAAAATAGAACTGTTGATGTCATAAATAAAATAGTTGCCAGGAACTTCTTTGACACTTGAAAGGTGAAGAGATCGAATACATGCTGCTTGATATTCAGCTAAAGGTGTCAGGAAGTATTCTGATAGATCCAGCAATTCTTCAATGCAGCCCAGGGATAAATGTTCCAAGCAATGTGCTGTCTTTATTATTCTTATCAAAAATTCTAAATATCTGTAAGAAAAAACAAAGAAAAAATTTATTTCACAGAAATGACCAGAATTAAAAAAAAGTACAGCACAAAGAAGTAATGCTATGCTTTTAAAAGTACAGAACATAGCTTAAAAACAAATTTTCATAATATAATAGAAAATAGGCAACATCTTTAAAAGCGAGAATAAATCATATCTATGCTAAGTGAGAAAAATTAATCAGCAGAACATTAAAGACAGTTTATTCCCTAACAGAAAGAACTGCTGATATATTAAGCATTAAAAGAACCTAGCTGAAATATAATTTTTAAAATAACATACAACAAAAATATACGATGCCTGAGAAATATTCATAAAAATAAGACCAAACTGCATCTATGTCACAGAAGCAAAAATTAATTTCCTGTTTAATATCAGAGGCAATTTATTCTCTCAATCATCATACATTAAGTATGTCTTTCAAACAGAATTTAAACCGGTTGGGGGAGGGAATTTATGTTTCTAAACATTTCTTTTGAATCAATTTTAACTTTCTTAAGATCCATCATAGGAGGTACTAACTAACTGAGTATATGATGCTGACAACAAACTAAATGAAGAGAAAGAAAACAGAAGAAAGAATCCTAATTTATATTTTTTGAATAAGTTTTAAATTTACTAAGATCCATCACAGAAAGTAATAAAAAACAGCTAAATTTTCATAAATTATCGTAAATATTTAAGCATAATTTATATACTTGACCCCTCATACTCCCCCAAAAAGGCAAATAAAATGTTTAAAAAAAGAAAGGGTACTATTCCGTTTTGAGGACCGTAAAAAACTGCAGCGAAAATATATGCGCAAAAACCCAAATCTAGCAAACGCGCCCATTTAACAGCGCGCCAAATCTAGCGTACGCGCTGATTTCACATTGCGTAAGTTTATATAGTTCTATATTTCTTAAGACGCCATTGAAATACTAGTTTAATTTTTAAATCCTTTTTTGATTTTAAATCCTTTTTTTAATATCCTATGGATTTAACAATTTGGGAATTGCCCATTACGAAAAGTCGGCAATAGAATTTTGGGTAAAGTGCAGAATCACCCACTGTTTGACGCGTTTTTAAGAATTGCACATACTCGGTATCCATGTGCACATCGACCTATTTTCACTTAAAAAAAATCCCAGAATTGCACAAAAATGGCACTGCGCACACCCTTGGCTTTATCTATGTACACATCGACCTATTTTCACTTAAAAAGTAAAAGAAAATTGACAAAAATCCAATTGTTTTTACCCTTGTAAAAAGCGGCAAATAAATAGGTGAGCGATTCTGCACTTTACCGAGAATATTTTAAAACAAAAGGCATCATTCATTATAGAAAATTACGTTTGAACAACGAACGAGATGAACTTATGCTTTAGTGACTAGTCGGTAGCGAAATAGCGATGCAGGCATTCATTAAATTATAAATAAATTATAATAATGATCTGAAATAGTTGTTTACTCTTTTGCTTCCATTCAGTCATGTTTAGCCTCTTTCATATAAATTATAATAATAAAAAAGTATTATATGAAATTAACCTTTCATCTAAATTAAAACATCAATCTTAGATAGTTATTTACTATTATACTTCCTTTCTTACCGCAATTATTAGGGTTGCCGCAATTATTTTTGGCAGCATTGGCATCAGCAATAGTTTGGCGATTTTTTACGGCCCTCAAAACCGAATAGTACCAAAGAAAGTTTCAAAATGCTAATAGAACTTTTGAAGGAAAAATATACATTTTAAACTACCTTCTTATGAAGAAAATTTAAATCAATATTTATATTGTCAAATGGAAGAAATTGAGCAATGTGAAATTTAAAATTAGAGAAAAAAGCAACATTTATTTGGTGGAGATTTTGAATAAGACTTATCAATTTTAAGATCTGTCTTCGACAGGAGCAAATTTATTTATTTTTGCAAAATGAGAAAAATAAACTAGCACAGAGGAATAAAAACAAGGCACAATGTATCCAGGACAACAGTAATTAAAGGCCTCATTCAATTGAAACATTTAGTGATCGTTAGTCGTCATACGCCATCAGTTGCGATTGATTTTGCTGTTTTGGTATTCAATTGAAACGCAACGATCACTCGTTCTCATAGCGATCACTTGGAACCCATCATTCCGCGGCGAAAAACGATCGAATCAATATGGCGGCTGTGCTGTTTGTGCTTTCACGAGGACAGAAATCAAGTGTGCTAAAGAAAATGCTTTAGATCTGCTGAGTGAGCAGCAACTTATATCAAAGTATAGGGTGTATAAGGATCCTAGCAAGGGCAGCCGACACATCATCTGTGTTGTATCCAAATTAAGTGCACTTGTTGCTAGTGGACATTGATTTAGCGTTGTGTTGTTTACATTTGTGTTGATGGATTGCTACCTAATTCAGAGAAATATGCGTGGATGCACTGCATCAAATTATTCATATCGTTCCAGAAATAACTTTAGTATGTTCTATTTCCCGAGAAATGAAGAAATACGAAGAAAATGGATAATTAATTCTTGTCCATTGGAATAGATTCCGATCGCAAGACCGTGCGCTTTTGAAGTATGTTTTCATAATTGTTAAAAAAATAAGTGTTCATGTTTCAGCGAAATGTGTATTATCATTTAAGTATTGCTAATTAATGACAAACTGATTTATATGTACAAAATGAATATCAGAATGTGTATAGTCAATACACAGATACCGACGGCGATAAGTAGATGCTGATGTGATTTTCTTTATTGTTATTATCGCGAAAGGACAAAGTTTAAATAATTATATTATACATTTGGATTTCAATTTTGTGCGTGATTTATAACTATGAAGTGCACTTTTTATTTAAATTTTAATGCGGGATTCATGGTTTAAAATCGTATGTTATTTTTGACCTTATTATATTGTCGCCAAATCTGTCAGTCGGCCCTCCAATGTAAAAAAAAAAAAAAAAATGTAAACATTGGATAATATGATTGAAATTATGCATTATATAATGTTTCCCTTAAAGTAACATTATTATATCGTATTTATATTCATTTTGAAGAAGGTAAGCATCAATTTAGGTATTTAACGAATAATTTTGACTGTATTTATACATCATGTAGACTGTATTTCCAGCTCTTTCATTTAACTGCGATTGCTGTCAATTTATTTCCAATGTATCAACATAAAATATGTTTTAAAATGCTGTACAAGCTTAGTCAGTGATTCTTAATTTAATTCAGACAATTTTTTATGTGTAATTAAAATAATTTAATAATATATGTTACTGTAATTTACTATTTTTGATTTTAATGTTTTAGAAATTTGCTAAATCAAGTTTATTTTTGTGTGACCTTACATCAGAGGCGCCAATAATAAATTTGTTTTGGCTTTCACTGCTAAAGTTTTTAATGAAAAAAGTATTACTGATGTAAAAAAATGATATTTACTTCCTAATCAGTGCCTTATGATATTGCAATAACTTAAAAGGCTTCCTACTGTTTCTTAAGTTGCATAACGTGTTTTCATAACTTCTTATAGAGTTTTATGTATTTATTAAATATATGTAATCTACATCATTGTGTATTATATAATTTTCCTTTTAGAATATATTACATTGTATTTTTTGAGTTGTTAATAGAACTAACTAGGTGCATTTTTCTTTTCTTTTGCTTTAAAAGGTCTTTTGAATCGCTTTTTTTTCAGTATGCAAAACTTACTTGACCTATATTTTTCACATGTATATGATTTATGTGAATGGAATGCGTCTTTAAGGTTAGCTGTTTTCATAAAGGAATTAAAATAAATTAATACCTTTGAAGAATTTTCATAGATAAAACTTTGAAACAATAGCGCTGAAAAGCCAAAGATGGCACACCAAACGTGAACTGCAACCCTAAAGAATGGTTACGAGGAGTCAACTTGCACATCTGGTAGCTCTTTCATTGGTTATTTCGAAACAAACGCAACTTCCGACCACGTGACAAACAGCATCGCGCATCAAGTAACCTCTGGCAACCCCTACGAGTTCGACTGGTAGGGAAGTGTTTCAAATGAATACGAAAAATCACTCGCTTTCAAAAGTGATCGCTAATGCTGGATACAACGATCGCTGTTTGAGCGATCATCGCTGTTTCAATTGAATGAGGCCTTAAATGTTAGAATTTTGAAAGTATTAGGAAGGATTGAATCAGAATTAATAACCTTAAATAAGAACAGTTTTTGACAATGAGAAAAGCTTAAAGGAAATACAATTTACCATCTGAAGAAGCATTTTAAATAATTTTTGCAGCGTCAGAAATTAATTTACAGATCATTTTTGCAGAACTGGTCAAAATTATAATTTAGTACAAAAAGAGAAATAAACAATCCAGTAGCTGATTATAGTTAGACAAAAGATCAAAATTTTGACTGATAAAAAATTACTGTAGGCAGTCAAACTAAGAAGAACTTTGAAGATTTTTAAAATATAAACATAAAGGAAATGAGGATATGCAGAATATAATCATATGAACACTAAAAATGTTATTTTAACACATTGAATGCCACGAGCATTTTATGTGGTTCTCTCATGGCGTCAACATGAATTTTTTATTATTCAATGCATACTATGTTGAAATATTATCTACAGAAGGTAAGGTGAGTTATGTAATCGTGTTTAATACTGCTCACCCCCAAGAGGCTGCAGACCATTTTTTTGCGATCTATTACTCTTGAAAACATTATATGGTCAAAATTCTTTAATTCGGACGTCCATAATCAGGACCTCAAAGCTACAATCTTTCTGCGCATTCGTAAATGCATAATACGTCTACGCATGCGCATAATACGTTTATGCATGCATGTTTAATGTATAACGGATGGTATAAGCTAAGTTAAAATTATCTAACTATCTATTTCAGTTAATGTTGCAGATTGTGTTGTTCCTTAATCTTCTAATTGGACTCGGCTTATTATTTTTTGCAGACTGTTAGAGCAATTTTATAAAAGTAAGCTTGAACTTTCTATTATGTCAAAAAGAATTTCCGATTCTGCAGCTGCCAAAGGATCTACAAAGCAAAAGCATGTTTCGATGTCCATCAAACAAAAAAATGGATAAAAACATATCCTTTGTTTCTCTAACCAATCTGAAATCTGTTTATCAATTTCATGCTCCTCTGCGACGCGGCGGGTAGGCGTCGTGGTGCGTAATGAACTGGAAGTTTATCTGTTTGTCAGCAATATCCTTTTTATTTTATTCGGCTTATAATTCCTTATTAAATGTAGTATTTCATCTCGATGTACTTCGTCTTTGATATGATTTATCATCAATATAAATATCACGAATACACATCAAATAATCTTCTGGTTGCAATTTTCTAATTTCGACTATGCTTAATGTATGCTTTATGCATGCGCACGCTGAAAGAAATGTTTAACAAAGTAAAATAAATATTAAGCTTTTTTTTTTTTGTAAATTTTGATACCCTTTAGATGATAAGGGTTTTCATCCACAGAGAACCCGTTGGCGTTTCGGGAAAGAACCCTTTGGCGCCGTTGCAGTTTTACTCGCCAAGCTGAGCCGCGTCGTAAGCGTGATATTTTGTAAACGTGGTTTTTAGTGATGTAAATTCAAGTTAGCAGACAATGGTAGTAAAAATTCACAGATAATAAGTATGTAAATGTAAAACTAACCGGTTAAACATGATATACAAAAATAAATTTGTATTAAATTCAACTTAGCACAGAAAACAATATATTAAACATAATGGGAAGTAAAAATTCATTTAAAAAATAAAAATTAGTATTCTTATACTTACGTTTACATTATACTTATATGTATTTTCTCTAATTCATATAGAATACTAATATTTCTATTACAAGTGTCTTTTCATTTTTAAGTACTTTGCCTGTTGATTGATGTATTTCGGTAAGAGCCATGCCCCATGTAATAAATTAATGAATGCATGACCTTTAGTATACATCCATTTTACATAGTTTTCAGTATTTTTTTTACATAGTTTTAAGTTTTTTATTAAATTCTTAAGTTACTTTGCATACAGCTTAAAGCATTTTACTGTTGAAACAAATATCTATCCTTTTTCATAATATATTTCACTATTGTGAAATATATTATGAAATGATGATATATATATTATGTAATCAAATTTTCTTCAGTAGCATTTTTAATAAAACTAGAACTTTATACATTTTAAAATTATTATAGGGGTTGGAAACCTCATGGATCTGCGTGCTTACAGCTGTTAATAATGAAGAACATAACGTGAACAGTCATGTTACAAATTAGCATTCACCCCTCCCGCCATAATTTCTTCCTTTGATCCCGAACTGACGACCCGAGAACCGGCATCTTTTGACGAAAACTTCTTTAATTACGCGAAAATATTTCTATCTATTCGTTGTTAAAAAATTCAGAAAAAATAATAATAAATAAGAGAAAAATAATATAAATCTCCAAATGCGAACAACGACAACCTTCGCATAAGCGAATAGGATGAATTAGCTAGGTTACCAGGTTTGGACTATTATCGCCAAAGTTGGCGATGTTTACATTTACCGGGTTCTCTGCGGAAGTGCTTCCGATGATAATTGCTCTTTATTTCATAAATTGCAGTTTCATATTTTTAATTTTATAATTTCTGCATGCCATCTTACTTGTTCGGCTTATGCCAGGTGAAAAAAAAAACAGTCATAGTCCTGTGTATCCATTCTCAGTTTGGATTATTCCACACACAGCAGAATTTTTAAATTGGAATTTAATTACCTACAGATAATTATCGCCTAATTTTCTTTTATATTTCGTATTTGTAATTTTGGTTTCTTGCTTATCTTTATAATTTTAGTATTTTGCATGTTTCATTTATTTCTATTAATGTGATATTCTTTATATTAATAATTAGTATATTATGTAGGTAATTAAAAAAATGTTGATTTTATATGAATTTTATTGTAAAAGTAGGCTTAACTTCTGAAAATGCGTGGGCCGGTGGCGGCGTTCCATTTCAGGGGGTTTGGTCTCGTGGCTGAGCTTTGTTCTTCGAGTGCTGGTCCCTAAAGGATTAAATGTTTATCTAAACTGCTAATGATGTGCCTTCCTTGCAGTTATTAACTGTGACATGCTTGAAAATTTTATGCAAGAATCGCTACGCATTGCATTTTTTTAAAACAATTTTCAGAAATTCTGCCTTCCAATACACACTTTAAAAAAAAAAAAATAAATAAAGATATTTTCTACTTTGCAAAAGTTTGCTTTATGCGAATTTGTTTCTGCAAAAACATGTAAATACTTGATTTTGTTAACAAAATGTTGCATTTACAAAAAACTAAAAAGTGAAATTTTTCTAATTTACGAGAAAAAAGCAGTGTACATGGATATAAAGAAGAGTGTGCGCAATGCCATTTTTTTGCAATTCTGGGATGTTTTTTTAAGTAAAAATAAGTCGACGTGTACATGGTTTAGTGATATTTTAATTAAATGATAGTTATTTTGTGAATATAATGTTTGTAGGAATTTGGTATACGTTTAGTGAAGTAAACGTGCATGGAAATAATTTAAATATTGACACTAAGTATTTGTAATGTTTGCGGTATGAATTCATTGGTGATGTTATAATATAATAGATAATTAGAGGTAAAAGTTTTTGGATATTTTATTTATTTTATACGTGGAAATGTTCATATTTGGAAAGGGTATATACTTTTTCGCGATAAGGTAATTTCATATATGTTCTTTTTACCGGGTTTAAAGATTCAGAAAATTGTCATGCATTTTCGTGAAATTTTTCTGATTTTTGAGAAAAAAGCAGTGTACATGGATATAGTGAAGAGTGTGCGCAATGCCATTTTTGTGCAATTCTGGGATGTTTTTTTAAGTAGAAATAAGATGACGTGTACATGGTTTATGTATGTGTTATTGTGAAAAACGCGCAAGGAGTTTCAGATTGTGCACTTTTTCCCAATTTTGCAGTGAATATTTGTCATGATTAAGCAGTTTTGTTAGATAAAATTTCTAGTATAAGTGTAATTTGGCTAGTAGATTGTTGGAAAAAGTGTTCAGTAAATAAAAGAAAAGAAACATGTCTTTACTTCGTGAAGACAAAATGGCGGCGGGAAAAAAAAAAAAAAAAAAAAAAAAATAGAGGGTTGCTGTAGCAGAGTTGGTCGCCAAACTACCTGTTACCATATTCCAAAGATCAGCCACTCTTCATTACTTTTTTTTCTTTCCTTCTAACATAATAGAACAGATTTTGCTTTATCGTTTTTTAAATTTGAGTAAATAAAAAAAAAAAAAAAAAAATTCTTCTAATTCTTTTCCTTTAATAATAAATCATTTCAAAGTGTAAAAAAATACATGCCTGAATTTTATTTTGAGTCACTGCATATAGAAAGAGTAACCCAATTCTACTAGGTGAAAGTTTCCAGAAATGGATAAAATATCATTATTGCTCCCTTAGAAAATATTTATGCAGTATTTCCATTTACAAACACTACACACATAATTCAATCTTTGTTTTGATTTGCTATAATATTTAAAGGAGTTATTACACAGACAAAATACTTCGCGATTTATACGTTGAATTATTTAAGTTAATTAAATTTCCTGCAAATGAATTGGCAGACAACATGCTGATACAAGAGAAAATTGCATCGGTACATTTTAAACGTCACATATATGACAAAATAACAAGAGATATTTTTTGGTATTATTGATATATTTCATTCCATACAAGTTATAAAATAATAAAACATGGAAATAGCATTACTAATACTGGCAGGAAAGTTGCACAAATATTACTTTAAAACAGGTCTGATAAATTTTTAAAAGCAACAATATATGAATATATACATAAGAATTCCGAAAAGTAACTGTAGTCTATTTTATTCTGAAGTTTCGATTCAGGAAATCGAACCTCCACTTTCCTTGAGACGTGGATTATTGCGTAAAGTGTTGCGTGAAGAACTAAAAACTGATTTTTCGAAAAAAAAAAAAAAAAAATCATAATTCCTCTCTAGTATTAAAATTATAAATATGTAAACGTGCTCATTTTTAAGTTAGTAAAACTAAAAATAAAAAAATACTTACTGGTCCAATGAAAGTGTATCATTATAATCGGACCACTCCAAACGAGAGCTACGTGGTTTTATGGACAATGCCCGCAGATTATTGTTGAATGTGAGAACTTTTAATATATCTTTACAAAGCTGGACATCTTTAGGATTTGATGAATTTACTTCGATGACAACTTCTCGTGCAAATCGTCCGCAGTGCTTGGCTAGAAATCTGGCCCCGTCATTATTCTGATTGACTGTCTTATTATCACAGCTGTTTAATTGGAATACGACTTTACGCCATAGTTTTGGATGGAAAAGGTTATTTCTCCAAGCTTTGCACGCCGAGGACGCATTTAATCTGTCTTTCACTGTTAAAAATGAAAATATTTCAACAATAATTATGCTGGGTAAATTGTTCCATAATCCACTGCTCTCACCCGCCATTACTTTCCTGTTCACTTTTAAATGCTGCCGAAACGATGATACTAAAAACCCGATTTAAATTTCAGATGGCTGACTCGAGAGTACACATAGCCACATAACGTTAAGCCCTAGTTCTAGTCTAGTGTTGAACTTAGATGTATTGAGTACGACGGATATAAATTTTTTTTTAATAAACCGAGCTCTTGTCTGCTTAAGACAAAGCACTTTTTGAAAGCACTCGGAACTTAATTAACATAATTAAATTAAATTCGGTTTCTCCATGTGGAATTTAGCTAAAATGTTTATGGTGTTTAACTGTAGTAGAGAGACTGTAGGGATAGACTGTAGGATCATCATTCTGCAGAAATTTGGATTTTGACAGGTTTTTAAACTCGGATTTTTCCTGAAATGACATGCCAGTTTTTTCCCATATTGTGATTCTACGACTTAAATTATGCCAAACTGCCAGTTTTTGTAAAAATCGCAATAAATAAAATTCCCCAAATAAAATTTGCGCATTTCTTACGATTTATTTTTAAAATTCGTATTTTAAAATAATTTTGGAAATTTTTAGGAAAAACTTTTGAATTATAAACCATAAAATTTTACCATCATCTTAAAGTAGATGAATTTCTAAGCATACCTGCAAAAAAATAGAGTTTTTTATTCACAATTTCCTAGGATATACTTGAATTTACATACAGGCGCGTTTTGAAATTTGGCGCATAAGCAATAATAACGCCAAATGTGGTTCACGCATTATGTTATGTTAAAATTATTTGAAATACAGTCAAAAGTCGTTAATTCGGACACCCATAATCCGGAATGATCTATAATCCGGACCTCAAAGCTACAAACTTTCTGCGGACGGGATAAGCTAAGCTAAAATTATCTAATTATCTATTTCAGTTAATGTTGCAGATTCCGTTGTTCCTTAATCTTCGAATTGGATCCGGATTATTATTTTTTGCAGACTGTTAGAGCAATTTTATAAAAGTAAGCTTGAACTTTCGATTATGTCAAATAGAATTTCCGATATATATTTACTAATATGTAAAGGATATACAAAGCGAAAGTATCTTTCGGAGTCCATTAAACAAAAAGTGGAATTGCTGCAAAAAATGGATAAAGGCATATCCTTTGTTTATCTAAACTTTAACGTTTTTTTATCTAAACTTTGTTTATCTTTAACACCGCGGCGGCGTGCAATGAATTGGAAGTTGATCTGTCAGCACTATCCTTATCTTAAGGGCAGATGTTTTTATTTTATTTGGCTTATAATTGCCTTACTCAATGTAGTATTTCATCTCGATGTACTCGGTCTTTGATATGATTTAAATCAAATGCCTCGTCATTATAATTCGCTTCCGATAGCGAAGAAAGTACAGAGGTTATTGAAACGAAAAAATTTCGATTGACAAATTAGTCGGTATTCTCGACACAGCAATTATAGGACTTGAACAGCGGAACTTTGTAACTGAACAAGAAATTATGTCTGTTTATAGAATTAAAGAGAATGTATTATCACATAAAAACGAAGCAACTTAAACAAACTTACATTGAAAGAAATGTTTAATAAAGTAAACAAATAAATATTAAGCTTTTTTTGTAAATTTTGATACCCTTTAGATCATAATTGTTCTTTATTTCGTAAATTACGGTTTCATATTTTTAGTTTTTTATAATTTCTGCATGCCATTTTACCAGATTTAAACTGATGATCTATAATCCGGAAAAATCGATAATCCGGAATCGCCGAAGTCCCGACGAGTCCGGATTAACGACTTTTGACTGTAATGAATTATGACTTCCCCCCGCTCGTTTACAATCAAAAAAAGGGAAAGGAAAATAGGTTGCTATAAATTAAGAAGGTCATCAAGTATTCTTGGCGTAACTGAGAGAAATGCACCAGATAAAGTTTTGAATTTCTCTGTAAATTCTGCACCAAATTTTACAAAATTAGATATTTAGGCATAACTTGAGTCGTAGAATCGAAATATTAGGAAAAAAAATGCATATCATTTCAGAAAAAGTTCAATTTTGTGTCAAAATATCTATATTAAAACAATGCTATATATACATCTAATATATATTCTAAGTTCCGCTTTCGATACTTGAAAAACGCTATTTGAATTCCGTCAATCGGCTCAGTAGAACGGGAGATATAAAACTGTCCTTTTTACTTCCTTGTACGAAGTAAAAAGGAAGTATTGTAATCGCGAAAAGTTTCAGGCAGCATATTTCAACGAAAATATCCATTTTGACCGCTATCGAATGCAATATAGTGATGGTTTTGCGTGATATCTGTACATAAGGACAGAATAAAAGACTCGTTTCCTCCAAAAAAAATTATAAAACTGCTTTAAAATTAATTCTGAAGAGAATTTTGCGTGGCGTCTGTACGAACGTATGTACGTATCTCGCATAACTCAAAAACTAGTAGCCTCAGAACGTTGAAATTTTGTATATAGGATGCTATAAAATGTAGATGTGCACGTCGTATTTTGGTTGCAATGGGCAGCACCAAACGTATATAAATATATTTATATATATATCCACTCTGTTACCCGGCTCAGTGATCTCAGTTTCTTTCAGTACAGATTCAGTACTCTTATATGTTTCTAAATTATAGATTTTTTGCTTTAAAAGTGATTGAATTATGTTGTTTTTATCTACCGGTTAAGGTTTTTATGCCTTTAGTAAATCTGTATGCAATAATTTTAGAATTATCAACAATTTTAAAGTTGTTTAAGTGCCGCTAAGCATTTTTTTATGGCGGCCATTGATTGTTTACATTTGAAACAGCAGACTAGTGGATTTGCTGCCAATCTAGAGAAACTTAGCTTCGCAACAACAAAGATAACGCCTTCATTTGTTATTGCCAATTAAATCATGCTTAATTCTTTCTGGAATTTTTTCGAGGAAATAAGTGTTTAAGATTTACTTCGCAATTTTTAATATGGATATTTTGAGTTTTTATGTATTTTTGCCTTGTCGCGAAGTGAGAACTGAATTAACTGAATGAGAAATACTAAATCGTCTGTGAAAAACTGTTCCTTTTCTGTTTTGTTTGCTTAATTTCTTTCATACATCGTTCTAGCTTTATTATAGTATTTGAATAGAACATGTGGCAACGATAAGATAATTCTTCAAATGATATAAATTTTTTGCATTCAGAGTGTCGTTATAGTAAACAAATATAGTGAATTTTAAAGAGTGCATTTATTCTATTGTGTTTTTATGCGCTGTCGACGAAGTAGATTTAATTCAATCCAATAAATTTAAATGAAATGCAAGAAAAAATGCGTATAATTTAATATTCCGTACAAGGAAGTCGTGTGGTGTACACATCAGATTTTTTATTATTATTTTCCCCCCGCAGTGTACCTATAAATAGAGATTTAATTCGGAATTAAACTTTTAATCCAGTGTTTCTTAGCTTTTAGATTTCGCTTTCAGACGACAGTAAGCTAAAAATTGTTATTTCCAGCTTATGAAAAAAAAATTGCAAAATAATTATAGCAGTTTGCATTTAATTAAATACATTTTTAGGAAATGCCAAGCTGCGGTGAGTCAGCTTCCCTGAAAAGCGGTATTTCAGGTTGCCAGAAAGTGGGATGGAAAGGCAAGGTTGCAAGATACTGCGCGGAATAGGCCATTTAATGACAAAATTGGCGATATGCCATAGACAGAGGGAGATGATTCTAGAACGCATTCTTAGCGGTTTTCTCGGGAATATTCTCGAAGGTAGGTTAAAGCCATTTATACCCTGCCTATCCTGGGAGACAATAGTAGTGTAGTAGTGTTTTGAGTTCAGAGATTATCTCGAGAGCGATCGGCAGAGTCGGGAACTGTGATTTAGTGATCTGCTGTGAAGCTGTCTTTACCGTTATAGCCCGAAGGCTGTGTTGCTGATTGTTTCAGCGTATTTATCGTAGTTTTTCGATGACTATAAACGTGTCTTGGACATTGTCCTGTGTAACACTGGCGAATAAATTGAGTTATGATTCTTCATGAAATGTTATCATCAGTTACTCCAAATCCACGAACCCGTAGAACGCAATATATAGGTTCTGTATAATATAGTGTATAAAGCGTAAAGAAATTTATATGCATAATTCGTGTCGGAAAAGTTTCTGTAGGCAAGAGTTTCTAAATTACTCTGGTTTTCTACGTTATTTATTAACTTTTTAATTTTAATTCTAGTCTTTTAAATTGCTAATTTCTCAAAATTCCTCTTGTTTAAATTTCTTTTTAGTAATTCACCACATTTGGTATTACTTTTGGTTTTGACTTTTATCCTTACCTACATGGATGACGAAACACGAATTGAATGATTGAAGAGTTATGTTTGGAGGCAATTTTCGCTTGATAAGTCTGTCTCCTGCCTACTCAACAATCATTCACTTATCCATTTTTAAAAATAAATTTTTTAGGATTAAATAATTTTTGGATATTTATTCATGGATTTTTATACTTGCACTTGATTTACATATGTTCTCAGAATTTAAATGATATTGTAGATTAGTTCGCAACAATAATAATCATTTATTTGTTTGCATTAAATTTCATTTAAATTTATTTAAATTTGCTTTTTACGAATAGATTAATAGAATTGTTAAATTCAAATATGTTGGTAATGATATATGTTGTATAAAGGTATGGTAGTGTTTCACATACCTTCTTCGTTCATAAGAGAATAAATTGGTAAATAAATTAATGAAAACTGACACTCACGAAAGAAACTCCTAGTATAAGAAATTAAAAAATAGACTATAAAAATAGGGAAATTTAGTTGTAACTGAACTAGGTTCGAAGAAATGTGTTAACATTATGCACTAGAAATAAAATTATGTCGATTAAACAAAATTTCAAGTGCTTAAATGATAACCAATGGGTAAAATCTATGGTCATTCACATCTAAGTTGATACTGAAAATGTTTATCTTAGGAATTTCTTTTACACATGTAACGTAAATAATCGCTAATTTCACTTGAAAGTTGTCCATGAAGGTAGAAATACCCGCACTTAGTGCAAGAAAAATG